CACTCAGCAAAGTGGGAAGCTATACTATTGATGAGAAGACAACACATCGGGCCAATTGTCTGTCCTTCAACAGTTTTCAGTGATCCCCCACCTTTGGGGTTCTCAGTTATGACTGATCCCCCCAAAAAAATCCTCCGCCCACCCCCCCCCCCCCCCCGCCAGGCGATGAATAATGACCGGTTCCTAAAGCGCCTTTGGATGCCTGCAGAAAAGGTGCTATATAAATTGTTTTTATTATCATTATTATTATTATTGTGTGGCGTGTGAATTTATTCTTTTGCCACGATAGCGTCTTGGGTGATGTTTACTATAATTCCATCCAGAGGGAAGAGCACTACTCCCAGCTGCGTCATTCAACAGAAACAGGGTTCTCCGGCTGTCTGAGCCTCTCTTACCTACGCCTAGTGTTATTTTTGACCATCGATTAAGAATTGTCATTATTATTATTATTGGTCCGTTCCGTTTCTTATCTTTGCTACGAATGTGCAATGAAATACATGAAAATCGTCATGGATCATGACAAAAACACTCGCCACCTTGTATATTAATACCGACCCTTTACAGGGCAAACCAGAAATTACGGTTGGGAAATCAGTCAATTATGGTTCTTGTCATTTAAGGCCAATGTTTTCTCCTTTAATTGGCAGAAGTACTCTTTTCCTATTATAGGATCGAGGTGATAATTGTGCACTTTATAGCCATGAGACAATCATGATTTTAAAATATTTTTCTCAAAAAGTCTGAGATTTTTAAGTCATATTTATAAAATTGTTCTTTTCTGATAGTCAAAGCTGAAGATGGATTTGACTGATGAAGTACCGAGGCTTCCCCACTTTGAAGCATTTGAAGGATTTGAACACCGCCGCATTGGAAAGACAATACACATGAATGAAGAAGTCAAGATATTAACGCTTCCAAACGGTGTGGAAATTAAGTTTGAGCAAATTATAGCCCTTGCTGGGGATTTTTATGGATTGCCCGAAAACCCAATTATTGACCCCTGTAAAGAAGAAACAGAGGAGGACTCTGGTCGCGACGTTCGCTTCCGTAATGCATACGAAACTCTAGCATGCGCACCGAAAGATGAATTACAGAAAGAGCTGAACAAACTGTTAGCTACCTTGGAGAAGGAGACTAAAGAAGGAAGAAGCATTGATTCTAAAACGTGGGACGAAATCACCGGTGGTAAATGGTTCTTTGGCCTTCCAGTCAAAGAAGGGAGGATGTTAGAGCTGGCTGAGAATAATCACGACCATTTTCTTCCTTATGCAAAGGACGCATACCTGACCGGTCATCAGTTGGCAATAGAAAAAGCAAGAGAAGCTAGTCAATATCCACAAGATCCTGCATTGAAAACGAAACTCCTTCACGAAGCATTTTCAATGGAAGCATTTGCGTGTCACTTTCTTACTGACAGCTTCGCTAGTGGCCACATTAGGTAAGAAAAATGATATTAAGAATCGAAGATTTTTCCACTGAAAGACTGAGTTTTCTGTTCTCCTACGACCTTGTTTGTTGAGATAGTTTTCAACGTGCCTTTCACGAGGATTCTCACAGGCTTAACGACCCAAAAAGAGTAACTAAAGCAGAAAAGAATTTTCGAGAGCCCTGGTGTGATAAACCATTTACGTATACGTTGCACGGTCTGAGATATTTTGAAGGGAAAGGGGGATTTTAGACGTGCTCGAAAGCGGATGGCGCCCGCCCAGTCTTAGGCCTCCCCCCAAAACGTTTTTTTTTTTTTTGCTTTTTAATTGATAATTATTAAATTCTTATTTGATTTTTTTTAAAACAACCAGAGAAACATGATTGATTTTTTTTTTAGGAATGATTGATATTTCCTTTGGTCTGAAGCTGTCTGACGGAAGCCGTGTGCGCTTCGGTTGTTTACAATTATAAATTTTACAAATTTTATCTCTACTTATATTAGGACGCCAAGAGTTGAATTCGGAAAAGCAACTACTCTAGGAAAAGATGGCCATTTATTATGTAAGTACATGCACGACGAGGACAACAAATATGGTCTGCGCGTGACAAATCTAAGGGGTGATAAATGGATTGCATATGGTGATGGTATGCTTCTGATAGAAAAGAGCAAAGATAATTTAAAGGTAGCAGCAGAAGCTGTGCAGAAATCAGTTGATCAAGTCTACGAGGCCTACACAAATCCTTCCGGATCTCTTGATCCCTCTCAGGTAACCGACCTGATACCTTTTGTTGATCAGGAGGAAAGAAACAATTCTCCAATGTTTCAGATGATAGATGGGAAGCTTCTCAGAAGATCAGACTTGAACGATCTCCAGGGTACTACTACAACTGCCAGTTGGTGTGGACTGACAACAGTAGCAATGCTACAGGTTTACAAACCTGAAAACTCTGCTATATAGGCGTGCAATTGCTCAAAACCTATATTACCAGGAGAGAGCAAGAACTTTTAAAATGCTAGCTTAAAGAGAAAAATGTATTAAACATATTCGAGAAAACGATTACAGCTGAAAATCTTACTAATTCTAGCGGCGATATTTTTTTACTTCACGATTATTGAGATCATGTCACCTGTAGAACTGAATTCAGTTCCAGTTCATACATGTACTAGTCAGATTTAGGGAAATAGGTCTGATTTGACAATTGGTATGTGTTTTAGTTGTACTCTGTGAAATAAGAGATTCTTACTATACATGTTTTCGATTTCATAAATGATGTTTTTTTAAATTCTATTGGAATTTCTAGTTTTTGTCAGCTTAAAGTAACATGACAATTTTAAACTGCAAAAGAGAAATAGCTTTATAGGGTCAGCTTGAAAAACAGTGTGTGTACTATTTCTCATCCTAGCGAAAAAACAAGGCCAAGAAATGAATGAAAGACTAGCTTTCAGGCTACAATCGCGAATAGAATAAACTGGAAAAACAACCCCTTCTCTCTCAAAGTCTAAGTTTGTATGCAAGACGTAAGTTAAGTAAGGGCCTGTTTTCATGAAGGTGGGGGACCCCAAGTAGGTGAGGCAACCACATATCATGTAAACATGATCAAATTAAAATGACAGATTATATGGACAGGCGGGTTACCCTACCCAAGCGGGTCACCCCACCTACTTGGGTTCTCCCTCCTCTATGTAAACAAGCCTTAAGTTATTAAGTAGGACAGACTGGGAGAGATATACAAGAACACTTGCTGAGTCTGCCAGGCCACTTGCATCGGTAAGACTGGTAGAAACCTTTGCACACACGTAACTGAACACATACGCCAGTCAAGAAAGAATGTCAACATTAACAATTGAATTACAACGGAACACCACTTCCAAACAAACAACCTTACAGGCCGTTACTACTAACGATCCGCTTACGAAAGCTGGTTTATGCATGAAATACTGCTGAATCGAAGTCAGAAGTGACCGGTTCCTTACTCACATGAAGCAAATCTTGACATCTATAAAATGAGAGAACATACTGAACATTTTGACTAAACAGTGACCGTTTTCACTGGCAAAAGACTGGTTGAAAGGCACCCCTCACATCATCATCGGTCATTCAGGCCGTTAATATCAGGAGCCCGTTCCTCCAAAGTACCGCTAGTTAATGTAAGATTGTCTTCTCAATATTCTTAAGGTAATATTATAAAGGTGTCAGTTAACAAAAAAAAAATGACTGGGTTGTTTGTTAGGAACTGATAGTTGATTTCGCACGTTCGAGGAACCGGCCCTTGGACTACACTCACCGGGACGTAACATAGTTACTCCATCTGCTTATGACTTTCGACTGCTTTCGAGTTTCGAGGACAAAGACAGACAGCAGACAGGAGGATAAGCAAGGAGCAGTATACAAGAACAAAAGCTGCGACAACGACTTATTGACGAATCCAGCAAAACTAACACGGACAGAATGACCGGACAAACGGCAAGTTTACTGACAGAAAACGAATTGCAACGGACCAATCACATTTAAGAGTCCAACTTAATTGACCAATTCAATTGAATTAAATTCAATTCAGCTCTTTTTTTCACTCACGCAAAATATGTTAGATTATAATAATATTACAACCGAAGGTTCTAAAGAAAGTGAATACCAATACATACGTAGAAGCTGAAAAGAATTACATGTCCAAATATTTCACAAAGTCAATAAAATTCCTTCCATATCACAACACTCACACCAAGTCAACAAATGTATTTTAGGTTCGAATTCTCTATGCGAGATTCTAAAACTAAATAAATTATTATCATCAAGAATGTAGAAGTTGCGAACTCGCGAACTTTAACAAACAAAAAATCATAAACCACATACAGCAGACAGATTGAGATAAACTTATCCGAATCGATTTTCCACATTCACCCATATTTTTTTCTCCTCCTGTTTTGCTGTCTTCTTTAATTTGAATCCTTTTTTGGCATTTCATTAGTGAAGTGTTGATATTGCCTAAATTTACGGTGTGCGGTAACTAAGTTGTTGTTGTACTCATTGGTCACATGATCAGTTAGTAGAATATACGCACCTGCTTTTCGACCACAAACATAGCGTTGATAAGTAAAAACAAATTTGTTTTGTTTTTTATTCGACTCGTAGAAGTAGAATATTTGTTTTGGAGGTGAATTTGAATTACGAATCCAGGGTTAGATTCACTATGAAGACAGTGGATTTAACTGCGAATCGTCGTTTCGTCGAAGTAGTTTCATTTGACTCCTCGATCGAACACCCAAAAATTGGTGAAAAAATACACCTAATAGATGAATTTAGGAAAATTACACTCCCAAACGGTGTAGAGGTTAAGTTCGAGGAAATTATAGGCCTCGCTGGAGACTTATATGGACTGCCTGAAAACCCAATTATTGATCCCTTTAAAGAAGAAGAGTAAGACTTGTTACGAAAACAGCGCTTTCGAGGTGCCTACGACAAATTGCAGGGGCACCAAAGGATGAATTGCAGAAGGAACTTGACAAGCTGTTGGCTTTCTTTAGGAAAGAAAGAGTCCTGGATGCAGAAACAGGGGACGAAATCACTGGTGGTATGTGGTTCCTCGGCATTCCAGTTATACAGGGAAGGAAGTTAGAACTGGCTGAAAATAATTACGACCATTTTCTTCCTTATGCAAAAGACGCATACCTGACTGGTCATCAGTTGGCAATAGAGAAAGCACGAGAAGCCAGTCAATATCCACAAGATCCTGAATTGAGGAAGAAACTCCTTCATGAAGCATTTTCAATGGAAGCATTTGCGTGTCACTTTCTTACTGACAGCTTCGCTAGTGGCCACATTAGGTAAGAAAAATGATCTTAAGGATCGAAGATTTTTCCACTGAAAGACTTAGTTTTCTGTTCTCCTTCGACCTTGTTTGTTGAGATAGTTTTCAACGTGTCTTTCAAGAGGATTCTCACAGGTTTAACGACCCAAAAAGAGTAACTAAAGCAGAACAAACTTTTCGAAGGGAAAGGGGGATTTTAGACGTGCTCGAAAGCGGATGGTCCCCGCCCAGTCTTAGGCCTCCCCCCAAAACGGATTTTTTTGTTTTGCTTTCTAAATGTTAATTATTAAATTCTTATTTGATTTTTTCAAAAACAACCAGAAAAACATGATTAATTTTTTTAGGAATGATTGATTTTTCCTTTGGTCTGAAGCTGTCTGACGGAAGCCGTGTGCGCTTCGGTTGTTTTCAATTATAAATTTTACAAATTTTATCTCTGCTTATATCAGGACGCCAAGAGTTGAAATGGGAAAAGCAACTACTCTAGGAAAAGATGGCCATTTATTATGTAAGTACATGCACGACGAGGACAACAAATATGGTTTGCGCGTGACAAATCTAAGGGGTGATAAATGGATTACATATGGTGATGGTATGCTTCTGAAAGAAAAGAGCAAAGATAATTTAAATGTAGCAGCAGAAGCTGTGCAGAAATCAGTTGATCAAGTCTACGAGGCTTACACAAATCCTTCGGGATCTCTTGATCCCTCTGAGGTAACCGACCTACTACCTTTTGTTGATCAGGAGGAAAGAAACAATTCTCCAATGTTTCAGATGATAGATGGAAAGCTTCTCAGAAGATCAGACTTGAACGATCTCCAGGGTACTACTACAACTGCCAGTTGGTGGGGACCGACAACAGTAGCAATGCTACAGGTTTACAAACCTGAAAGCTCTGCTATATAGGCGTACCGTGCAATTGCTCAAAACCTATATTACCAGGAGAGAGCAAGAACTTTTAAAATGCTAGCTTAAAGAGAAAAATGTATTAAACATATTCAAGATAACGATCACAGCTGAAAATCTTACTAATTCTAGTGGCGATATTTTTTTACCTCACGATTATTGAGATGATGTCACCTGTAGAACTGAATTCAGTTCCAGTTTATACATGTACCAGTCAGATTTAGGGAAGTAGGTCTGATTGACAATTGGTACGTATTTTAGTTGTACTCTGTGGAATAAGAGATTCTTACATGTCTTCGATTTTATAAATGACGTTTTTTAAATTCTATCGGAATTTCTAGTTTTTGTCTGCTTAAAGTAAGATGACAATTTTAAACCGCGAAAAGAGAAATAGCTTTATAGGGTCAGCTTGAAAAGCGGTGTGTGTATTATTTCTCATCCTAGCGTAAAAACAAGGCCAAGAAATTAATGAAAGACTAGCTTTCAGGCTACAATCGCGAATAGAATAAACTGGAAAAACAAGCCCTCCTCTCTCAAAGTCTAAGGTTGTGTGCAACGCGTAAGTCAAGTAAGGGCCTGTTTACATGACGGTGGGGGACCCCAGGTAGGTGAGGCAACCTGTGGCGGGTCACCCCACATTTCATGTAAACGTCTTGATCAAATTAAAAAGAAAGATTATATGGACAGGCGGGTTACCCTACCCAAGCGGGTCACCCCACCTACCTCGGTTTCCCCACCTCTATGTAAACAGGCCCTGAGTTGTTAAGTAGGACAGACTGGGAGCGATATACAAGAACACTTGCTGAGTCTGCCAGGCCACTTGCATCGGTAAGACTGGTAGAAACCTTTGCACACACCTAACTGAACACATACGCCAGTGAAAAAAGAATGTCAACATTAACAATTGAATTACAACGGAACACCACTTCCAAACAAGCCATCGCATCACTTGGATATATTATACTTTTTCTACAGGCTACTACCAGCGATCCGCTTAAGAAAGCTGGTTTATACAAGAAACACATACATACATACATACATACATAACCTTTATTAAAGTGTCTTGTCGTTCTAGTGCCTATTGGCACTAATTGGGGACACCTTTAAAACTAAATTACATCATTAATAGAAACTAATTAAGTACTATAAAGGCCGGAAATTCACACTATTCAAGCTAAGTGCTCTTTTACACTCTAAAAACTAAGTTCTAGATTTAACACTTCGAAGCTAAGTTCGAAAATTTACAATATAAAAACTAAATGCGTATATTAGCTCGGACACTAAAATGAATAAGTAAATATGCGTACGTCCTCTTAATCTAAGCATAAGCGGCATTCACTCCCACATCCCTCAAGAAATGATGTTACATCCTTCTTACGTATCATTGTCCTAAAAGTTGCCAAAGTTGCAATATTTCTCTCCTCCTTGCTTAGTTTAGACCATAATTGTGGTCCGAGAAATCTGAGAGAATGTTTTCCATAAGTAACAGTTTTAAACCGAGGTAAGACAAAATCTGCATTTCTTAGGTTATATCTCTTACTATTAATATTCTCCTCGTTGATATTAAAAATATCCGCAATTTGGTTCACTGTTAATTTGTTTTTTACTTTAAACATCAAAATGAGTATATCCTGCAACCTCCTATTTTGTAAAATAGTCAACTTAGCTCTTTTCAGCAAGGTGTCATAACTTTCGGTAGTAGTATTATACACTAATCTTAAGGCTCTTTCTTGTAGACGCTCCAATTTACGACTATCAGATGCCGTGCAAAAATGCCACACTAGGTGGCAATAAGTAAGGTGTGGCATAATAGCTGATTTGTACAAAAGTAACTTGGCATTTACTGGCATAAGATTTTTAAGCCTTCTTAATATTCCGATCATCCCGCCAACTTTCTTACACACACTACGTATATGATCTCTAAAGTTTAGGTTTTCATCTAGGTTTACACCTAGGATCTTGATGGATTGTGACTGTTCGGCTTTTTCGCCACATATATCCAGATCAACGTTCCTTTCTCCTTTTGGATTTCCCAAAACCATGGCTTGATATTTATCGCAATTGACTTTTAAAAGATTATCTTGATACCATTTAGTCATCCTCTCTCCATTGTCCACCAGTATCTTCTCCACGCTTTTGGTTGTTTCGTTTGCTACAAAGACCTGATGGTCATCCGCATACATCGAGACATTGGCATCTGATATTATGCTAGGCATATCGTTCTGGAAAATATTCCACATGAGTGGTCCAAACGTACTTCCCTGTGGACATCCTCTCTTCACCACAACCCAGTCACTTGTTACAGAACCTATCCTTACTCTGTTCTTTCTTCCCTGAAAATATGATCGTATGAGCTGTATGGCTTTATCGGAGAAATTGTAGGCTTGCAGTTTATTTATGAGCAACTGAGGGCTCAGAGAGTCAAAAGCCTTGCTCATATCCGAAGACAATATGCCGACAATTTTCTTGCTGTCTAGTTCAGCTCTCCATGTTTCGGTCAGCCTAATCAGCGTGGTCTTACAGCTATTCTTTGCACGATAGGCAGTGATAGCATCACTGAGTCTATCATCCATAAACTTACTGACTTGTTGGCCCAGCAATACTTCATAGACTTTATTCACGCATGGCAGCACCGTGATAGGTCTATAGTTTATATCCCTTTGTTTAAACACTGCTGAATCGAAGTCAAAAGTTGCCGGTTCCTTGATCAAATGAAGCAAATCTTGACATCTATAAAATGAGAGAACATACTGAACATTTTGAATAAACAGTGACCGTTTTCACCGGTAAAAGACTGGTTGAAAGGCACCCCTCACATCATCATCAGTCATTCAGGCCGTTAATATCAGGAGCCCGTTCCTCGAAAGTACCGATAGTTAATGTAAGATTGTCTTGTCAATATTCTAAAGGTAATATTATAACGGTGTCGGTTAACAACAAAAAAAAATGACTGGCTTGTTTGCTAGGAACCGATAGTTGATTTCGGACGTTCGAGGAACGGGCCCCTTAGACCACACTCACCGGGACGTAACATACTCCATCTGCTTATGACTTTCGACTGCTTTCGACTGCTTTCGACTTTCAAGGACAAAGACAGACAGCAGACAGGAGGATAAGCAAGGAGCAGTATACAAGAACAAAAGCTGCGACAACGACTTATTGACGAATCCAGCAAAACCAACACGGACAGAATGACCGGACAAACGCCAAGTTTACTTACAGAGAACGAATTGCAACGCACCAATCACATTTTAGAGTCCTATTTAATTGACCAATTCAATTAAATTGAATTCAATTCAGTTTTTTTTCACTCACGCAAAATATGTTAGATTATAATAATATTACAACCGAAGGTTCTAAACAAAGTGGATACCAATATATGCATATGTAGAAGCTGAAAAGAATTATATGTCCAAATAATTCACAAAGTCAATAAAATTCCTTCCATATCACGACACTCACAAAATCAGGTGAAAAAGCGGTTGAAAGTAACTCGGAGGAAATTTGCATATGATTACCCAAATTGATACGCCAATCAAGCATCTTGGCGTTTGCAACCGAACCGAGTCAGCAAATGTACTTAAGGTTCGCTATGCGAGATTCTAAAACTAATTATTATCATAAAGAATGTAGAAGTTGCGAACTCGTGAACTTTAACAAACCGAAAAAATCATAAACCACACACAGCAGACAGATTGAGATAAACTAATCCGAATCGATTTTGTACATTCACCCATGTGTTTTCTCCTCCTGTTTTGCTGTCTTCTTCAATTTGAATCCTTTTTTAGCATTTCATTTGGCAAGTGTTGATATTGCCTAAAATTCACGGTGTGCGGTAACCAAGTTGTTGTTGTACTCATGGGTCACATGATCAGTTAGTAGAATATACGCACCTGCTTTTCGACCACAAACGTAGCGTTGATAAGTACAAACAAATTTGTTTTGTTTTTTATTCGAGAGTAGAAGTAGAATATTTGTTTTGGAGGTGAATTTGAATTACGAATCCAGGGTTAGATTCACTATAAAGACAATGGATTTAACTGCGAATCGTCATTTCGTCGAAGTAGTTTCATTTGACTCCCCGATTGAACACCCAAAAATTGGTGAAAAAATACACCTGAAATATGAATTTAGGAAAATAACACTCCCAAACGGTGTAGAGGTTAAGTTCGAGGAGATTATAGGCCTCGCTGGAAACTTTTATGGATTGCCTGAAAACCCAATTATTGATCCCTTTAAAGAAGAATAGGAAGACTTCTTACGAAAGCAGCGCTTTCGAGGTGCCTACGACACACTTGCAAGGGCACCAAAGGATAATTACAGAAGGAACTTGACAAGCTGTTGGCTTTCTTTGGGAAAGAAAGAGTCCTGGATACAGAAACAGCGGACGAAATCACTGGTGGTATCTGGTTCCTCGGCATTCCCGTTATACAGGGAAGGAAGTTAGAACTGGCTTAAAATAATTACGACCATTTTCTTCCTTATGCAAAAGACGCATACCTGACGGGTCATCAGTTGGCAATAGAGAAAGCACGAGAAGCCAGTCAATATCCACGAGATCCTGACTTGAGGAAGAAACTCCTTCATGAAGCATTTTCAATGGAAGCATTTGCGTGTCATTTTCTTACTGACAGCTTTGCCAGTGGACACATTAGGTAATGATCCATCCAGTCAGGCTATGTTGTAATGTTTTCATTCATTGCTAAGGGTCTCTTATTACAGCGTGAAAGGATTACAACGTCAAAGGCAGTTTTCAGTTAAAGAAAAGCCATGGGTACAAGGATCGAAAAACCCTCCACGGTACACGGTTGCGTGTACTTGTTTGTGACACTTTTTGAATTTCAAATGCCGATTGTTTGTATTTTAAGTAACTAAAAAAAGTAATTTTGATATTGAAAAGTACATCACAAGTGAATTGTTTTAAAAAGGAAAAATAGCTGTATAAATATATTCGTTTATTTTACGGAACTTTGATGCCTTGTAGTTAGGTTTATTTTTATAAATCTTTCATGAGATGGCGTCATGCTGACTTGTTAAGAATCTGAATAACATCCATAAAAATATCTACTTGCAGGACGCCAAGAGTTGAGCTTGGAAGGGCGACCATTCTTGGAAAAAAAGGCCATTTACTCAGTAAGTACATGCATGACGAGGACAACAAACATGGTGTGCGTGTGACAAATCTGAGGGGTGATAAATGGATTGCATATGGTGATGGGATGTTGCTCGAAGGAAAGAGCAGAGATAATCTTAGGATTGTAGTAAAAGCTGTGCAGATTTCAGTTGATCAAGTCTACGAGGCGTACAGCAACCCCACCAAAGCTCTTGATCCTTCTGGGGTGACCGAATTAATACCTTTTATTGACCTCGAGGAGACAAACAACGCCCCACTTTTTCAGGTGAAGGATGGCAAAGTCCACAGAAGATCAAGCAAGAATGATCTTTAGGATACAAGCACTACTGAAACTTGGTGGGGGCTAACAACACTAGTAAAGACAATTATGTGTTGTTATAAACCTAGAAACAGTTCCATATAGCTGAAGCGCCTTCCCCACAACAAAACAAAAAAATTGTATATATCAGTTACAGTCGGAGAAAAAGAAGGATTTTACCTTACTTTGAAAAATAAATTACTTAACATATTTTTTAACACATGTGTGCAAGTACTTATTTTCCGACAATTAGAAAAGTCTCTAAACACCAAGCAAAATCGGATGAAGCAAATCGACTACGTCCTGATAGGGATTATTGAAACATACTAGATTCCCCTTGCAACGTGCGATTAAATATTAGAATGTTGTTTTAAATCTGTAAGTTGCTTATATTAAAAAAAGAAAGAAAACACTGTTTTTTTCCGATCCATGCATTTGCTTTTATTTATCACCAAGTGGTGATAATTTAGTTATAAGTGAAGAACAATTTACGTTTTTGCCACTTATCCCCCCAGAAGTTATGTATTTTTGTAATAACAATTTATTTTAATGTCTTCATCACCAGTTTTTACTTTTTTTCTTTACTTTTTAAACAGAAAACTGTCGGTAGATACCACATGGCTAATACTTTAACGTTCCGCTTATGTAAAAAAAAAAAAAAACAAAACACTAGTTTTTTTGCAACTTACACTGCTCATTTCCTTTAAAATAATATTAGGGACTTTTAGCAGTGACGACGAGCATGTGAACGTCAACTACCGGACGTCGGTCTGAAACTGCAGCGTGTGCTGGATAAATTAGAAAAACTCGACAAGATAGAAGCGCATCCTAGCGAAGTCTCTGCCAGTCTTGCTAGTATCGAGGAGAAAGTATCTCGTTTAGATGAAGATCACAGGAAGAAATAATAGAATTAATTTGTTTTAAAGCTTACCTAAAGATACACAAAAGAAGTATTTAAACTATCTTTAATTTATTTACTAAAGACATGAAATACACTTTTCATAGACTTTAAGGTGAAAATTAAAGGCTAACTTATGAACCATTTCATAACCGCTTTAAGTTAAGAAGAAAGGTAACTGAAAGGTTCATTTCATAAACTTTAGGAACTGCTCCTAAAGCGTTCTAAAGTAACATTTAATTAATCTTTTGTGTCAACTTTAGTATAGCTTTAATTTTTCAAAAATGCTTGGTGGTATATCTTTGCTTTGCCTTTAATTCTACTTTAATGTAGTATTAAAGACTCATGTCATCTTTAATTTGTCTTTAATTCTATTTTAATGTTTTATAAAAGCCCCAAGTCATCTTTAATTTGTCTTTAATTCTATTCTAATGTTTGATAAAGGCACCAGGTCATCTTTAATTTGCCTTTAATTCCATTTTAATGTTTCATAATACCCCGCGTTTGTCATTTTTAATGTGCCTTCAATTCGATCTATTTTAATGTTCATTAAAAGCCCCAAAGAAGAGAATAAGATAAAGGGATTAAAACTGGGGTATCTCAGCTTGTCGGAGAAAAATATCATAAGTTGAACACTGGAATCCATGACTGCATGGTTCCTCTTAAAGAAGTAAATAAATACAGTGAAACAAACAAAATCTACTTTAAAATCAGTTTATTGTCAATAATGTCTAATTCTTATTTTGAAATTATTCACTGCCTACTTTAATGGAAAAACCACTTTGTGGTGAAAAAAAAAAATAGATCAAGGACCACAACTTCAAAAAGTTAAAAGTACATCTTTATCAAGTAGGTTTGATGATCGTTAATTTGTAAAATAAATTCACAACACTGTTCATTGTCAACTTATGAAGATAGTCCTGCAATCACACAGATGAAGTGGTTGAAGAATCAAGATCTGATGCTTGAGCATTAAGGGACCATTCACGAATTTCAGGAGGGTCACGTTCTGACGGCTCCTTACAGTTCTAGGCACAATCCTGTCACGTGCCCTCTTAGCCTCTTGTTATACTTTTTATCAAGCTGCTTTTTGATTTTTCGCAGAGCTGTGCTCTCCCAAGGGAGCTTGTTGATCTTATAACTGGTTAGTGCCTCCTTGCCATCTTCGTCAGCTTTACAACAGCTATCCTCGCTGCTCATTGTCTCCATCACCAGGACCTCTTCTTCCATTCTCATGGTTGTCACCCCATTTCACCATTTCAAAGGCAGCTGTCCTCCTTGTTAACTTCTAAAAGAAAGAAACAGAATAAGAGTAGGTGGTGGGCCAGAACTCATTACAATACAATCCAACTGATTCCACCATTGGATATGTAACAAAAGAGTATAATTAGATGAGACTTAAACAAACAATATCCAGACTAATCTCTCTTATTATTCTGTACATCACAAAAATTAAATCTTATAATAAATTGTTGTTTTTTGAATGAAAAGATATGGTCAGTAGATATGTTATTTACTGCCTTTTCAGAGATAACAAGCCACTTAAACCAACTAAGCATCCAAGGTTTACATCAGGTAACTCTAAGAAATCATGCAACATGCGTGTCCTCCTTTTATGATCTTCATATTTTTCAGAATTTTTCAGTCTTCTAGTCACATTTAATGACTGAAAATATCTTTGTAGAGCAGCTGTTGTAATGGTAAAGTAAGGTGTCTAGCATTAGCACAGGCTAACATCAGTACAGGGGACTGTATTCTAGGAAATGATGTATTGTAGGGGAACCAATCACTCTAACTTATAAAATTCAGGGTGCCCAGCAAATAAAAGTAAAACAATTAAGATTTTCTTCTTTGCTTAAGGACAAAGGTAATTCATCACTTATAAACACTTCGGCCAACCTGTCAATGTTTTACAAATGATATGAAGCTACCACTGGATGGTTAAAATCTTAATTGATGTTATATTTATATTATATCACGTGATCTGTTCCAAAATTAAAATAAACAGGAGATGGCCTAAATTTGTCCGACTTTAATGATGTGTGACTATTATACATATGAATACAGGTAAATTTACATTAAGCAGTCCCACTTTCAGGCTGTTTAAATGGTCACTTCTTAAAACAATTAGCATACTGCTGCACTAAATGAAATTGTGCATTCCTTGTAATGAACTGTTTTATTGTTGACTTTTTTTCTCTCTTCATCTGGAGGAATGGAAAACTCCTTGAGGTAAGGATTAATCCCTCGCTACTCTCACTCACTACTGTATCTTTGTAGTGTTTTTGTTAATGTCCCTTAAAGCGTTTTGAACCTGTATTAAATGGGTCAAACTAACCCGTCATTTTGCCCCTTCCCAAAGGGTGAACACAGCAATTATAAAGGTTGGACTGTGAATTGCCTTATGTGAATGACAGTGTACCTTCCATCACGGCCCTTGTCTATGGACACCTTTCCTCTCCTCCATGTTGGTGTAACACTTGGGCCATTACTCTTTGGAAGATAGTAGCGTTGTTGTCAGAGCTTACTCTAAAAAGATATATCACCAAAGCAAAGTCACTTTCTTGATCTTTGATACATATTGTCTCTTTGGCAGGTATCAGGTACATATTATTGGCATCAATGTTCAATGACACTGGCATTTTGAACTTCTGAAGGAAATTCTTTTTAACCCTTTAACCCCTAGCAGCGACCAGCACCAAATTTCTCCTACAGTATCACAGACAAATCAAACAGAATAAACTAAAATGATCACCAATGAACAGAGAACAGTGTAAAGAATATGCAAGTTGATTTTTGGGGTTAAAGGGTTAATCTACAAAAAAGGCAGGTGAAAAACTAGAGCTAAATTGGGTTGGAAGGCATAATACAATGGGTCCTATTGTCATTCATGAGGTGGAGGTGTTCACTGTTGACCCTTCCAAGTTCTGTAGTGGCTTCCAAAGAAACATCCTGAGGTACTAATAAATCCTCCTGTCATTACTATTTCAGTTGGCTTTTATTTTATACTACGTGTAATTGACCTGTTCCAAATCTGCGTAGATTCCCTCCAGGTGTGGCCTACCATTGATGTATGTGCAGTAATTTACTTTCTCTTCAAATTAGAACTTACTTGGTTTTTTAAGTGAAGCTAAGACCTGTTTGGTAGTTAAATTAAAATTTGATAGATGTTTATTATACTTACTCTTCATCAAGGTAGAAGCCGTGAAAGTCTTCCTTTTTAGAAAGGACCTTGTATATTTGCCTTAGTGTTCTCTATAAATGAAAGAAATCACATCCCTTTCTCAGTTTGACAATAATATGCTGGTCAAAAGACATCCCAGGTTATGACTCTCGGGGACAGGAGCCAGAATTTAGCATTAAAAATTCAGATGTCTGCTTTGGTTTAGTTTTGATGTCATTTATGTCTCACTCAAGAAACAGGTGGCTTGAAAAATTAACTCCTGCAATGCAAAAAAAAAATGACGTTCCACGCTTATTGTCAGTTATTGTCACCACCTCATATGCCCATGTAATCGTACAGTAATTTATTACATGCATACATGTTTTGTGGCGGCCGAGGTAGAAAATACAAATGAAATCTTCCTTAATCTTGTTACACAAATTTCTTCCTTGTGTATTAAAACCGTGCAGGTTTTTTTCTCAAACAAAGAAATAAGTAAAATGAAATAAAAGTGACCTATTCAGCCTAAAGTGTCACGAGTGTCGTGTATCTGACCGAACGATAGTAATTTATGCAAGATTTGCGCGCCAAAACTATTCAAACCAATTTTACGCCTCATTCTGCATGTCCACCTACTTCAGTCATTTCAGTTTTGTAATGTATAATTTTCATGTAATTTTTTTTATAGCAAATCGTCTTTGCGTCATTCAAATGCACGTTTCTTTTGATACTTACCCTGCATGCCACAGGAAAGGCAATTGTATGAGCGGCAGCCCTGCGTCTGGAGCGATGTCTTTCGCCAGGAGCTTCTCGCTCATTTAACCTTTGCTCAATCCTTTGCACTACTTGTGTTTGATTTCTTCTAGCTGCCTCGTGTTCTCACCGCAGCTTCTCATTTTCTGCGGCGAGTTTTCGGTTAGTTCCTCTAGTAGCATAACACAATCTACAGCGCTA